CTCTTTTCGCTTGAGGAAGATTGTGGCTGAGCTAACATGCGTGCCCATCTTCCTCTGATTTACGGGATGCCTCCACAGCATCCCCTGATAAGCATCCCCTGGCTGCTGAAGCGGAGCACCCGAACTTAACCCCTAGGCCATGAGGCCGGCCCCAAGAGTTTTTCGTTTTTTAAATCTATATCTTCATAAGGTTTAATTTTTTTTAGTAAGATGCATGAATTACTTTTACATAAAAAATTTTAGTGGTGGGAACAGGAGGGAAGGTTTCCTGGTGTGTCTCCCAGGCCCGACAGCAGAACAGAGCAGGGCAGAAAGCATGGCCTCTGAGACTGTCTTATCACTGCACAGTCTGATCTCCTGGCTACTAGACTGGGAAGGAGAGGTTAACAGTTTCAGGGTCTTGAGCCCTTAAAGCCTTCCACCCCACGTGCTCTTTTGCAAAGGCTGCAACGGAAAGGAGCCAGTTAAGGTTGCTCCCTCCTCCCTATCCATAGGGACCCTTCTAATTCCTCCGCTAATGAGAGTAAGGTTTGCTGGAGCCACGAAGAGGGCAGGAGGAAGAGAAGGCTTTGGGGCCTGGAGATCTTGCTAGATGTGACCTGTGGCCCCGAGACTTCCCCCTCCCCCAACCTTGCTGAAACTGAAGATAAGAGAGGTCTCTGGAGGGACAGCAGGGCCTTGCCAGGTTCTCAGGGTAGGGCCTGCCCTCCTGCGTGTGGAGGAGGGGAGCCGATGAGTCCCCAAACACTCGGGGGGCAAGCCTGAGCAGTTCCTGGAATGTGGGGGAAATGAGTGCGATGACACACCGGGGCCCCTATCAGTCAGTCGTCTCTATAAAAACCGTCGCCTCCTGATCTAGCCCCCAGATTGAGTCCCAGGATTTCCTGGCTAGTTCCAAGAACCCTGCCCGGAAGGGGGGCGGGGCTCCTGCCTCCGCCCCTCCCCCCATCCCCCTCCCCCCCTTGTCCCCACCTCCGGCCCTTTTCACGTTTGAGTCCGAAATCCCAGCCCAACCGCAGGGCCAGTCCGCTCCGCCGCCAGGTCTAGTCGGCCGGCGCTCCTTCATAGCCCTCCCCTACCCCCGTGCCTGCCCCGCCCCCGGCCCTCGGTCCCGCCCCCCAGTCCGCGCCCGCCGCCACCCCGTTTCCGCATAGTTCCCGCTCCCGGCACGCCGCGCGCGCCTCGCCTACCTCCCCGGCCCGCGGGAACCCGAGCCCGTGGGCCCCGCCCTGGCACGTGCCTGCGCGAGGTCAGTCCGCCTTTGGGGGCTGCAAAGCGACCCTTTTTCCCAATTTCTGGCCCTATCAACCTGCGAGTACCGCGTGCCCAGGGTTAGGGAGGGGGGCCGCGGTGTTCCGAGAAGCCCAGAGAAGATGCAAGCCCGGAGGCGGAAGGCGAGGATGGAGAGGGCCCGAGCTCGAGCCCACGCCCACCTTCTTTCCCCGAGGCGGGCGCATTTGGGAGCCGGGCGAGACGCCCGGTCTGTGCCCGGCGGGCCCGGAGCCCGAGTGTGAGCGGGGGCCGGCCCGGTACCCGCCAGGTGCGCTGCGCGGGACTGGCAGCGGGGCGGGGCGGCCCCAGTAGCGGCTGTCGGGGTTGAGGGCGAGTCACGTGAGCTGGGGAGTCCAGGGCCCAGCAGGATGTATTGAGGTGAGCTCAGGCCCAGTAGCTCTCGGCCTGGATGCCGTGACCTGGCCTGCCAGGGGTGGGGAGCGAGGCTCAGGAGGCCCCGCCGACCAGGCGCTGTCTCCCAGGTGGGTCGCGGAGCTCGGCTCTGCGCTGCCACCGTGTGGCCGGAGGGAGCAGCGCCTGCCTGGCGCCCAGAGACTCCTCAGGACTGGGGGACCCGGCCCTGGCGACCACGCGGTGGGGCCGCCCTCCCGGAGACTGGCTTTCGAGACCTTGGGCCCCACCCCCAACCGGGTTCCAGGAATGAGGTTGAAGTTGCCATGGCGACGGCGGATCGGTCGTCGGGCCTTTCTCTGGCCTGTAGACCCTGCTCAGGATCGCATGGGACTCTGGTGTGGACACCCAGGATCTGCCCCCGCCCTGCTCACGAGTAACGTGTATGAATGAGAATGATCCCTCTCAAAACAGCCAGGCCTCCAACAACCAACCAGCTTTTCCTAAGCACCTACTATGTGAAAGGCAAACAAAAATGAATAATTAAAATAAGGGCAAACCCTCTCATATCCATGCCGTTCCATTCTCATGAAAATAATAGATGACATTTAAGGAGGCCTTCCTGTACGCTAGGCACTCACTGAGTACTTTTATATGCATGTCCAGATCACATTCTCACCACAATCCCCTAAGGGGAGGCACTGTCATTCTAACAGATGAGAAAAATTGAGCTTCAGAGAGGTTAAGTAACTTGTTCAAAGTTGTACAGCTAGCTAAGGATTAAATGTCTAAGCTTTGGCTTTATTTTTTTTAATAGACTTTATTATTTTTTTTCTAATAAAGATTGCCCTGAGCTAACATCTGTTGCCGATCTTCCTCAATTTTGTATGTGAGTTGTTGCCACAACATGGCTTCTGACAAATGGTGTAGGTCCATGCCCAGAATTGAACTGGGCACCAAAGCTGAGCTCTCAGAACTTAACCACTAGGCCACATCTGGTGCGATAGACTTCATTTTTTAGAGCAGTTTTAAGTTCACAGCAAAATTGAGTGGAAGGTGCAGAGAGTTTCCTATACCGGCTGCCCCCACACTCACAGCCTCCCCCACTATCAGCTTCCCACACCAGGGACATACATTTGTTACAATTAATGAACGTACATTGACATTATTATTATCCGAAGTCCAAACTTCCATTTGATAAGCCTTGATTTTTTTTAAAAAGATTTTATTTTTCCTTTTTCTCCCCAAAGCCCCCCAGTACATAGTTGTGTATTGTTTGTTGTGGGTCCTTCTAGTTGTGGCATGTGGGATGCCACCTCAGCATGGCCTGATGAGTGGTGCCATGCCCGCGCCCAGGATTCGAACCAGTGAAACCCTGGGCTGCCAAAGTGGAGCACGCGAACTCAACCACTCGGCCACGGGGCCGGCCCCGTGATAAGCCTTGATTTTTAAACACTATGCCAATCTCCTGCCACATTCCTGAGGGGAGAATACAACTGAGACTGAAGATGTGTAAAATCCCCAAAGCAGGGGATGGGAAGGGCATTCCAGGCTGGAGAGTTGTACACAGAAAGATGCAAAGGGATTTTCAGGGTACTTGATGATTTTGGCGTGAGCAAGAGGTCCCGAATTTTAGTCAATCCATTGAGTATTAACCTCCTGAAGTTTGTCCTAAGCAATAATAGCCATGAAATCATGAGTTTAATATGCAAGGTTATTTTTGAATACTAATCGAAATAGATCTATAACTAAAAAATATCTGGTCATGGACCACTAAAATCATCCCTATAGCCCTCAGTGGTAGTCATGCCCCATTCTGGAAAACACTGCCTTAGGGAATTACTGGAGGTGCCGTGGGGAGGTAGGATGAGGCCCCTGTTTGTTGATCAAGGGTTGTCTATGTCCCAAGTAAGGGGCTTGCTGCTTTTCATAATTCTCTCTGAGCCCCAGACCTACCAGCATATTTGATCTCGTCTTTCCTGGCTGGCAACACTTTGGTGGCTTCCCATTCTCTTCTGGATAAAGAGAAAATGCCTTAATATGGCCTACGAGGTCCTTTGGGATCCTGGAATAGGCCCACCATGACCCTATCAGGCTAGTGAAGAGAGGGAGACGGGAGACTGGATCCCCTGGAGGAAGTGACATTTGAGCTGAAATCTAACCAATTTATGGGAGAGAACGAGGTGATGGTGGTGAAGAGTTTTTAGGTAGAAGGAACAGCATGTGCAGAGTTCCTGAGGCAGGAAGTCACAGTGCATTCGAGCTCCTCAAAGAGGCCTGAGGAAGAGTCAGGAAGAGGAGTGTGCGGAGGCTGCATCCTGCCTGTGGTCCCTGGAGGCAGCACAAGCCCTGTCATCTTGATGCTGTGCCCGGTGGGGAGCCATTTAGAGTTTCAAGGAGGGGGATGACTTCTATTCAGTTACTCGGTAACAAATATTTTTGGAGCACCTACTACTTGTAGAGCACTGGGGGTTTTACAGTGATGAGACTCATGGTCCCTGCCATCAGGAAGCTTATACTCATCTTTTTCAAAGAAAAGTTTCACAGCATACCTTGGAGATATTGTGGGTTCAGTTCTAGACCACTGCAATAAAGCAAATATTGCAATAAAGCAAAACACAGGAAATTTTTGGTGTCCCAGTGCATATAAAAGTTATGTTTAGGACTGGCCTGGTGGCACAGCAGTTAAGTTCACATGTTCTGCTTCAGTGGCCTGGGGTTCGCTGGTTTGGACCCCAGGTGCAGACATATGCACTGCTTGTCAAGCCATGCTGTGGCAGGCATCCCACATATAAAGTGGAGGAAGATGGGCACAGATGTTAGCTCAGGGCCAGTCTTCCTCAGCAAAAAGAGGAGAATTGGCAGCAGATGTTAGCTCAGGGCTAATCTTTCAAAAAAAAAAGTTATGTTTACATTATACTGTAGTCCGTTAAATGTGCAATAGCATTATGTCTAAAAAAGTGTACATAATTAAAAAATACTTTATTGCTAAAAAATGCTAACCATCATCTGAGCATTCAGCGAGACATAATCTTTTTGCTGGTGGAGGGTCTTGTGAAAAATGCAGTATCTGTGAAGTGCAATAAAACGAGATATACTTGTTCACGCACATGGTTTAAAAAAAATAACAAGGAGTAAGGTTTTCTATGAAAACAGGAGGCATGGGACTGGCCCTGTGGCTGAGTGGTTAAGTTCACGCGCTCTGCTTTGGCGGCCCAGGGTTTCACCAGTTCGGATCCTGGGTGCAGACATGGCGCCCCTCGTCAGGCCATGCTGAGACGGCATCCCACACGCCACAACTAGAAGGACCCACAACTAAAATACGCAACTATGTACTGGGGGAACTTGGGGAGAAGAAGGAAAAATAAAAAATAAAATCTTTGAAAACAAGAGGCAGTCCGCCACCCTCTTCCCCGGCTTCCACTTTCCCAGAGACACCTATTTTCAACTCTTTAGCTGACTATGTTTTTCTATTTATCTGCAACCAACATGCTTGTCTTGTCACTTTTTGATGTTTCAGTTTTAAGCACTCTCTCTTGATTTTCTACTCTGGAAGATAAAGTTTTCACTCTCTTTCGCCATCACCTGCCCCACCATATACATGACCCCCACCTCCCCAAACTGCCAGCATAATTTTGGTTAGTCCCATAGTCATTGTTTACATTATTATCTGTAAGCTATGATTCCTTTTCCTTTCCTGTACAACTTTTTGTTTTCCCAAGAGTTAATAACTGTCCTGTTTTGCCACTTGCTTAGTGCTTATGTATTCCATTCTCCACCAGTTATCTAAATGGCTTCTCAGGATGTTCGTACAAATCAGGTGTCTCAGGTTGCTGTCTCTGGGGGCGGACGTGGAGACAGAGGTGTTTATTAGGGATCGACACATGTGAAGGGAAGTGGGCGGAAGCAGGATCCGGCAGAGAGAGAAGTCAAAATGCAGTGAGGCCTGGCGAAGCCTCCACCAGCCTGGCAGGGAGCTCTGAAGCAAGTGCTGTCCATCAGAGAGTCCTGAGCCTGGGTGAGAAGGCCAGGCCTTTATACCCCAGGGAAGCAGCTGATCTTGGGCCAGACAGCTCTCTGCAACTGAGGCAAATGCTGAAGGAGCTGAGAGCTGGAGGTGGTCTGCTGTCCAAACTTCCTGAAGCTGGGCGTCAAGCTCTTCCTGGAAGGGATCTCTGGAGGCACATCCCCATGCCCACCAGCTACACTCTGTCAATACCATCTGCTCGAAGACACTTCTCTTAGAGTCTTCCTTCTGCTTCAGTCTGGAGTGTCTGCCCTTTACACCTGGTGAGCAGTTATCATTCTGGGCAGGGAAAGATCCAGATTTTGTAGCGTTTAAAATTTATACAATCTGGGGGCCCTTAAAAAAAAAAGAATACAAAATTAGGTATAATTTACTTAAATTGATAAACAAAATCAATAAATTCCTGGAGCTTCAGATCCTTTCGAGACTCAAGACTTTCTTCTGAGATCTCATTAGGCAACCTCGCAGAAATGCTTTCTGCTGGCTTCTCCTGCCCACCTAGAACCCTCTACAACTCCCAACATTCACAGGGCCCGAGGAAGGGCAGGAAACTGAAGCTTTTGGAGCTTCTTGGTAAGCCCGCCTCTGATTCTGGGATTTTCCTCACAGTCATCCTAGGCATTCCCCTCACCTCGCTCCTATGTTGGGTTTCCCTGGGATTGCTTCTTTCCTTTTTTTTTTTGAGGAACATTAGCCCTAACATCGGCTGCCAAGCCTCCTCTTTTTGCTGGGGGAGACTGGCCCTGAGCTAACATCTGTGCACATCTTCCTCTACTTTATATGTGGGATGCCTACCACAGCATGGCTTGTCAAGCCGTGCCATGTCCACACCTGGGATCCGAACCGGTGAACCCCAGGCCGTTCCAAAGTGGAATGTGCGCACTTAACCACTGTGCCACCGCCTGGCCCCAGATTGCTTCTTTCTTTACTCCATCCTTTTGGTGGAGCACCTACTCCAGTAGTTCCTTGGGAAAGAGGGTGTGGGAGGTGACATTTCTGAGACCTTGCATGTCTGCAAATACCTTCATTCCACCTTCACCCTTAATAATTTGGCTGGTACAGAATATATGAAAACCTCTTAGAACAGTGCCTGGCACATAGTGAGTGCTATAGGAGTTTTGCTCTCATTATTATATGGAATTCTAGTTGGGGATCATTATCATTCTTAGTGTTGTTATTGAGAAGTTGGAGGGCATTCTGATTCCTGGTGCTTTGTATGAAATCTCGTCTCTACTTGGGAAGCTGTAGGATCTTCTCTTTGTCCCCTGGGTTCTGACATTTCACAATGGTGCCTTTGGTATGGGTCTATCTTCATCCAAGGCACTGAGCACTTAAGGACACCTTTCTATGTGGAAATGTATGTCCTTCAGTTCTGGGAATTTTCTTCAATTTTTAAGTGATGACACTTCCTGTTTTTTATGCTCTTTCTGTCATTTCTATTATTCAGATGTTGAGTGTCCTGGACAAGTCCTCTAATTTTGTTTTTTTATTTTTCTCTCCTCTTTTCCCATCTCTTTTTCTCTTTGTTTTCCTTTGAGGAAACTTTCTGATCCCTTTGCTTAGAGAGTAAAACCATGGCTGCCAGCTTTCTGGGGGGCAAAGGGCTGGTGTGTGTCTCGGCAGTCAGTGTATATGGTCACGTCATCCCTGATTTGGGGAGGACGCCCCTGCCCTCCGCTGCCTGCGCTTTCCCATGGCAGTGATCCTGTCTTATCCTCTCCAGAAAATAAACCTCTAGTCTTCTTCCTTGACCAGGGAAGGGACCCAGCAATCTAACAATTCTGATCTTGAAACAATTTCCAACCTCTTCTCCTTATTCCATGCCTCCTCCACCCCCTGGTTAAACAGGCACCTGGACCTTTTGGGGGAGTCTGTGATCTAAACCGGGTTGGTTCCCCTTCCCCACATCCAGCTTTGGCTGTGGTTTTCTTGGGTTTGCTGTGTAGTTACCACCCGACCATCTGTTTTTTCAGCTTCCAAATGCTATACTCTTGTCTTCTCTCTCATTCTCCTTGTCTTAGTGAGTTTGTGCCTTAAACAAAATCTCTTTACTGGAGTTTCAGTGGAGTTTTGGGAGGGAGTGAAATTAGATGTGTATGTTCAATCTGCCATAATTTTCAGTGCTTCCATTTTTGCCTAAACCAGTAAACAGATTAATGGCTACAAACTGTGAGAGCTACAGAGGAAACAAATATGGGGCCAAGACAAGAACAACAGGCAGGACGACTCAGACTTAAGAAATACAGATTTGTGCCTTTAAAATATGCACCTCACTGCTGTGTGGAGAAGAGACTGTGCAGGAACACAGGGGGTTGGAGACGGTGAGGAAGCCACTGTGGAGACCAAGGCGAATGTGGGGTGGATTGGAAAGGTGATGGCTGTACAGCTGGAAGGAGCCATATAGCATGTAGACAGACTATAACCTCCTAGAGGGGAGGCACCGCGTCCGTTTTTTTCCCTGCTGTGTGTATACCCAGAACTTACTAATGTCCCTGGTTACCGGAGATACTTGATAGAAAGTTTGTGAATGGAATGGTGGGTGAGGAAGGGAGGAGATGAGGACGACCTGCAGGTTTCTCCTACTATATAGACCTCCAAAGCCAACTAAGGGCTGTGGAGTGTGTGGCCAAAGGGAGCTACAGAAGGTCTGGGAGCAGGGGTGACCCAGTGAGAGCAGGTCTTGACCTGCATGCAGGGCCTGCATCACCATGCCCCTTCACCTTCCAACCTGTCTTCCATCACAGTCTTTCCACTCTGGCAGCTCCAGCAAGTCCATCTGCCTGACCCGCCCTCTCCCCAGCCCCACCCCTTCACCTGGCCACTCCACACTCCTCTCCCGGCCTCAGGAGGCCACAGTCTGATTCTTACATCATGTGCTTTTTCTGCAGAACTCTTACTCAGTTTGCAGTTGTGCAGCTGTCAGTGGGATTCTGTATTTAATGTCAGCTTCCCCCAGAGAGTGCGAGCTTCACGAGGGAGCGAACCTGCCTGTTTTGCTTGCCATTGGATCCCAAGCACCCAGGACCAGCCCTAGCATACAGAAGGGAGCTCAATATGTTAAAAAATTTTTTAAATATTTTGTTGAGATATAATTGACGTATAACATTGTATTAGTTTTAAGTGTACAACATAATGATTCAATATTTGTATATACTGCAAAATGATCACCACAATAAGTTTATCCATCACTGCACATAGTTACAATATTTTTTCTTCTGATGAGAACTTTTACCATTTATTCTCTTAGCAACTTTCAAACATATGATACAGTATTGTTAGCTATAGTCATTTGCTGTACCAGTCATTGTTGAAGGAACCAAATGAAAGTAGGTGTCATCTTGCAGAGATGGTGGGACAGAGAAGAGGTCGAAAGAGAGACCATGGAGGAGGCATGACGTGACCTGGGAGGGAGAGGGCACAGCCTGAGCACAGGCAAGGGGCAGAGGTCCTGAGAGAGGAAGTGAAACTTCTCAGTGCTGGTGGGCTTCAGTTCAATGAAACCAGCCTTTGCCTGGTTCTGGGTCCTGGGCCTCCCCCAAGCTCTGCAGACTCAGGTGCATGTGCGTGTCGGTGACTCCAAGCTTGGTGAGATAAACTACGGACTCTGCTATGGGCAGAGCACACCTGGTGAGGGCATCAGGGAAGGCTTCCTGGAGGAGAATGCCCTAGAGATGGACTTTGAAAGCTGAGAGGGACCTGGCCAAAAAGGGGATGATTCAAAGGCCTCCAAGGTTCTGAGCTTGGTTGAGTGGTTGAGCAGTGGGACCACAGGCAGACGCAGGGGCATCAGGTGTTAGATACACTGATCAGTGTCCAGGATCTTGAAGGATGGACAGGGACCTGTGAGGGGGGCCCAGGTCAAAGACAGGGCATGACATGCATCTCAGGCTCACTTCCTCCTCTGCTAGGCCCTGTTTACTGCCTGGGTTTGACCTCACCCCATGCTGCCACCTCACCACTGCGCGCCCCAGCCTGCCTTCCAGGCCACAAGACCAGGCTGTTTCCTGGCCCCATTCCTCACCTCACTCCCAGCCTTCCTGCAGCCTCTCCCACAACTGAGCCTGCCCTTGTCTTCCACCCAGGTAACTCCTTCCCTCACTTCAGCTCCCCTAGGAAGGCCTCTCGGATTCTTTGTGCTGGGCACTTTTACAAACCTTTCTCTTACTCCCTTGCATTTGGTCAAATTCCCCACATTTTAAAGATGGGAAAACTGAGGCTCACAGAGATGAAATACTGCCCACAATCAGAGAGCCGATCAGGGAGTTAAATCTGAGTTGGCCAACTCTGAAGCCCACTCTCCTCACTGTACCCCAAGAGCTAAGCCAGCAGGCGGGGAGCCTGGGGGATCAAGGCTGTTCCTCCTAGCCAAAGCTCTTTTCTGGGTGCCCTGGGGGGTTTCATATCGTACTGAACAGGAGAGGTAGGAGCTTGAGGGACAATACAGCACAGTGGTTAGAAGCACAGACTTAGGAGCCAGAGTGCTCAGGTTCAAGTCAGCTCTATTGATTCCTATGCCTCAGTTTTCCCTTCTGCAAAATGGGACGTTAATAGTACTTACCTTATAGGGTTATTATGGGGATTAAATTATGTGCATAAAAAGCTCTATCTAAGTGTTTGTTTTTGAGGAAGATTAGCCCTGAGCTAACTGCTGCCAATCCTCCTCTTTTTGCTGAGGAAGACTGGCCCTGAGCTAACATCCGTGCCCGTCATCCTCCACTTTATATGTGGGATGCCTACAACAGCATGGCTTGCCAAGCGGTGCCCTGTCCACACCCGGGATCCAAACTGGCGAACCCCAGGCTGCCGAAGCGGAACATGTGCACTTAACCGCTGCCGGCCCCTCTATATAAGTGGTGGTGGTGTTTTTTCCTCTCCTGAAGGCCCTCTGCTCAGTCAGAGACCACTGTTTCTCTGATTCTGGTCAGTGGTGGGCACCAGGGAGTGGGGATTCCTCTCTTCTCTAGCCTGGGGACTGAAGACAGGAGGAAGTATAATTTTCTAGTATCTCCATTTTATAGATAAAGAAGCCAGGCGTCAGAGATGAGAGGTCATTTGCTCAAGGTCACACAATTAGTGACAGAACCAGGATTAGAACCTGGGCCTACCTAGACCCTGAACTGGCATCTTCCCACTGCACTAGCTGCCTCCCTAGCATGTTCTTGACCCATCTGTGGGCAGGATGGGAACGTTTCCTTCGCTAGGAGACCCAGAATGCTCTTTTTCCGGGTCAAAGGTATGCAAAACCCCTTCTCTCCTGGAATGAGGCTCATTCCTCTACCCCATCTCCTGTGCTGGCCTGGAGCCCAGCCTGCAACTGCAGCTCAAGAGCTAGAGAC